TAGGGGGATGGGTTAGCCTGGTGATGGGTATTAAAGAGGGCACATTCTGCATGGAGCACTGGGTGTTATGAACAAACAATGAATCATGGAACACTACACACACAAAAAAAAATATATATATATGTGTTAATGTTTTATATTCCAAAAGAAACACATTCTTTTGTACAAAATTCGGATAGTATAAAGGATATTAAGTGAAGGATCATAGCTGTGTCCCAATGTTAACACAAATGGATTCAACCATGCTCACATTACGAGCCACCGACTTCCTCCCCCCCAGCCCCCGTCAGCAGTAGTGCTCCAACATAAATGTATCATCATCTGTTCTACCAGGTCTCTCGTGGGCGGAGACTTCAAATCTTTCCAGTTCTCACTATTAAAAACTTCATGGATGTGAAAAAAAAAACAAAAACTAATGATGTATGGTGATTAACATAACAATAAAAAATTATCAAAAAAAACCAATGATGTAATGTAGGGTGATTAACATAACATAATAATGAAAAAAAAGAAAAAAATCCACCCATTTTAAATATACAGTTTGGTGAGTTTTTAGCACACTTAAATAACTGCACAATTACCTACACGATCCAGTTTTAGAATACTTACATCACTCTCCAGTGTTTCCTCATTCCCATTTATGTTTGATGCCTGCTCCCACCACCAGCTCTAGATGACCACCAATGTGTTTCCATTTCTACAGTTTGTCTTTTCTAGAAATCTCCTGTAAATTGAATCATACAACAGGTAGTCTTCTAGTACATTGCTCTAACGCTTAACCTGGTTTGCAGAAGTCAAGGAAAAAGGAACACTTTACAAATAATGCACGTGGTCAAAGACTAGATCAAATAACAGCATGCATTGAAAGAAGGCTTGAGGAAGACTCTTTATAGCCAAAGTTGATATGACTTAGGGATAGCTGTCATGATTCACCACCACTTATATACACAATCATTAAAGAAGCAGGACTTCAGAAATGTTTGTCCTTTGCTCAAGAACCATCTTGTAAAATAGGATCAAAGACGATTTAAAATCCACATTCAGTTCTGCTCACTGACTTGGTTGTCCCATCTCACGTTATGGAGTGGAGTCCCTTCTGAGATAATGCATAAAAATGAAAGCAGGGATATCAGATTCATGGGACAGGCTGAGGTCAAATTCCAGAGACACAGGAGACAAGATAAAAACTCTAGAACACAAAGTGAAAGTTTGTTGGGGATGGGGTGAGGACAGAGAGGAAATATCCATACAGCACCTAGAGTGAGAACTGTCCAGAGAGCAGATACGAAATGAGAGTTTCCAAGGGAAGCCTCTCTTCCCTGATCTTATTCCTTAAACCACCTAGTGACTGGGTGGTTTCAGTCATGAAAATGAAACATTTGGCACTCTACTCTCCTTTAGATTTTCTTACTTAAACTTATCTCTGCTTTTTGCTCACTGTGACTTCACAGCTTTGGATCTGCTGGTTTGGGCTCCTATTTCTGGCTCAGTGGACTTCATGACCCCAAACACGTGATCATTGGTTCATCTCGGACATAGTTTAAAGGTATCCTATTGCTCTCCTGGCTCTAAGCAACCATTGCTAGACCCAACCAGTTAGAGCTCTCAGGTTCCTGAACCAGAGTCAGACTTCCTGGTCAGTATCAACCCTTGGATAGGTAGGAATCCAAAGCAAGGGGAACAGAAAACTTGTCCCAAGTGGTGAATGGATTGGTATGAGCTGCGTTATATTGTAAAGAGGTCCGTAGTGGATGCTTGTGGTCCTGGGGTTATGACCCAACTGGCTCTGAGATATGGCATCCTGGACCCAGTGCCTGATGCCATAAAGCTAAAGAATGTCATCAAAAAGAATATTTGTTTTCTATTGCAAGTGACCAAAGTCAAAACTGCATCAGTCCATGACAAGAAAGGTAAAGGGAAGAAAAACTTTATTGAGCCTAATTGTGCAGTAGACATGTAAGTTGGGGATCTTGCTTGAAATAACTTCTTCATTACTCAAATTCTGTGACCTACTTATTATTATGCCTATTTGCATATAGCAGAACTTAAGTTTTTTTTTTTTAACTCAAGGAACTATAAGACACAGAGAAGACATCTGCTTCTTCCTGTCCTTGAGTTTTTTCAATGCATCTTTGATCTCCTTGTTTCGCAGACTATATATGATGGGATTCAGCATGGGAATCACAGCTCCATAGAACATGGACACCACCTTGTCTTGGTCCTGTGAGTAGCCAGCACTAGAATGGAGATATGAGAAGAGACCAGAGCCATAGAAGAGAATCACTGTGGTCAGATGAGAGGCACAGGTGTTGAAAGCCTTCATCTGCCCTTGGGTTGAATGGATCTTCATGACAGCAGCAATGATGTAGCCATAGGACACCAGGACAACAAGAGCTGATGTCCCACCAACTGCACACACAACCAGAAAGTTCACTATCTGGCTGAGGAAGGTGCTAGAGCAAGATAAGACAAGCAGAGGTGGCAGGTCACAGAAAAAGTGGTTAATGACTCGTGGCCCACAGAAATGCAACTGGAATATGGAGCTTGTTTGGACCAATCCAGTGAGCAACCCTCCAGTGTATGCTGTAATGACCATCCCCAAACAGATGGTGGGTGACATGAGGGCTGTGTAGAGAAGAGGGTTGGAGATGGCAGCATACCGGTCATATGCCATAGCCGCCAGGAGACAGCATTCGGTGCCCCCCATGGCAATGAAGAAGAAAAACTGAGCAGCACAGCCCACAAAGGAGATTGTCTTCTGCTGCTTGAAGAAGTCACAGAGCATCTTGGGGGCAATGGAGGATGTATATGAGATATCAACAAAGGACAAGTTTCCAAGGAAGAAATACATGGGAGAATGGAGGCATGACTCCATCCTGATCAAGACAATGAGGCCCAGGTTCCAAGCCAGAGTCATGGAGTAGATCCCCAGAAACAACACAAAGAGGAAGACCTGTAGTTCTGGATGCTCTGAAAATCCCAAAAGGATGAAATTGGTTGTCATGCTGATGTTCCTTCCCATGGCCACGGATCTTCTCTCTGCTGCCAGCAGAGCCCCAAAGGGAGATTCCTGGGGAGCAAAAATCCAGGTGAAGAAACCACTTTGTTCTGCCATGGAATCATAGAGTCCCCGCGTCACAAGAGACACTGAAAAGCAAATGTCTTACCTCTATCGAAAGCAGAATTCCTCTCTACAGCATTTATTGGGTCTTTCGGAGATCATTGTCATCCTGATTCTGATGCACTGTTCATGCAAAACTGACAGCTCAGAAAGGACTGGCATTTTTGCATTGTCTGGATCATCACCTTCACTGCTAATGTCACCACTTTCCTGAAGGAAGTTTTTAATAGAACTTAGACTAAATACCCCTTTTTTCTCACTTGCTTCTAAGCACTGTGGTTGGATTATTGACCCCCTTAGATTTATGCTAGATACTTCTTTCCTTTTTTAAAGAAAATAAATATGTCAGAAATCGAAATACCCAGAGAGGCAATTCTGTGTTTCTTAACATCATAGTTTATTCTGACCAGCTTTTATGGCGTCAAGGTGTTCTTTCTTCTTTAATCAGTGGAATGAAGCATGTATAGGTTGAAACACTGGCACCCCCTTTAGAGATTAAAGAAAGGAGTTAAAAATAAAAGTTCAGGGCACCTGGGTGGCTTAGCTACTGACTCTTGAGCATCTGACTCTTGATTTCTGTTCAGGCCATGATCTCAGGGTCATGAGATTGAGCCCCACACTCAGCGGGGAGTCTCCTTCTCTCTCTACCTCTGCTCCCCCTCCCTGCTCACACTCATCTCTCTCTACAATAAATCTTTAAAAAAAAAGTTCAAAACTGTGAAGTTCTGGTGTTCATTTTGCACAAATATTATCAACTGATCACAAACCTTGCACCCTATGTCTGATAGAGCTAAATGTGGATGATGTAGAAAGTAATAAAACATTATTATTAAGTTCAAAATATTCAACATAAGGCATGGGACAGTCAGGAAACAGATAAACCACAGCACAGTGTGACAGGTGCCTGGGAAGTATTTGTACAGTGCCTGGATCCTGGGCATAGCAGCTGGGGGCTTCCAAGAGATGTGTTTGAGGAGGGTTCCAACAGTGAGTAAAGGCTTAGCAGGATGAAAATTGGTGTGTGAGGGAGTTGGTGGCAGTTGGTTCAGAGAACTTTATATTAAAGATGGGAAAATCATTTGCAAAAGCAGAGGAGAGCATAGTACTTGAGACACCTTAAAAATGTCAGCATGGCAGGAGCACAGGGTGAGCAGGGTTAAGAGAAGATTAACAGAAGTCTAGGTTTGAGAGACGGGGAGCTGGGCAAATTGTAAGAGATCTTTGAAAGCAGAAGCAAAGATGGCAAAAACATTTAATTGTTTCATATATATGTATACATACAATTGCATATACTATGTATATAATTTCATATGCTATATATATAATTGCATACATGTATGTACATATTCATATTTAATCTCTCCACTTCCAAATTTCTGTCCCCCTTTACCCTGTTCTGCTCTTTTTATAGGACTTACCACCTTCTCCTATTGGTTGTTGGTAGTTGATTTTCATCTCCCTTTACTAGAATGTTAGCTTAAGGAAGACCCCAATTTGTAGGAATTTTTGTCTCTTTTGTTCATTGAAGTATTGCAAGCACCTACACCACTACCTGGCACATAGTGGGAGCTCGACAAATATTTGCTGGGTAAATATCATGCTAAGGAGTTTGACTTTTCTCCTATGGGCAAGAGGGAAAACAAAAGTTTTGGTTTGGTTTGTTTTTAAAATTTTAATTATTTCTTTGTAAACAGGGAACGAGTCATCAAATATGAGTTTAACAATATAATAGAGAAGTGTTCCAGTGTGCAAGCAGGAGTGGAAGCTGCTGAGGAAACCAGACAGTTGCTTCAAAAGCCAGGAGGAAAGCTATTGCTGATTTGAGTCGGGACGAGTAGGTTTAGAAATGCACATTCCCCTGAGATGTAACAGCACCATTCATTCTGCAGTGCAGCAGGGGGAAAGAAACCATAAATGGCCAGACAAGTAGACCCTGCTCCCTTATTTCTCACGTTCACGGTCATCATCAAAGGTATATGTTAGCAAGATTCACCATGATTCTTTCCCATATCAAGCCAAGAGTCTATGATATATAGTCTAATACATTTTTAGAGTCTGATAAAAGTGAATTACCAATCATTTTATATGATTAGTACATCAATAACCTGGTTATTTTGATGTGAATTATCTGGAAGTACAGATATAGAGTATATGGCATGTGTTAAATGTCCTTATAAAGATAACTATACATAATGTATATTATATGAATATATTGCATATTATATTTTATATGGATGTGTATATATCTGTGCGTATATAATATATATCATAGTTTGCATGGTCTGAGAGCCACCACCACTACTTAGACAGCTTTTTTGAGTTGACACAGCATTCCCACAACTGTTACCTCATCTGTAGGCACCAAAAGCTGGGCTCTGATGTCAGATGGAGCCAGTCTCTAACCCTGCATCCCCCCTCACAGACTGTGCAGCCTTGGGTAAGCTGACACATCACTCTTAAATCTCCTTTTTTCATTTCCTTCAACTGTAAAATGAAGACAATGATAGTACTGACCACCTCATAGAGTATGAGGATTAAAAGAAATAAGTTACATCAAGTTTTGGAGAGAGAAAAAGCAGTAATTTTTATTGCTTAACAAATGATCAGCACTGTCAGGATTTGAATCCAGGTCTCTCCATTCCTAATCCAGAGTTTGTTCTCCACTGCACCTGCTGCTTAAAGCCAGGTGCACATACTTGTACATAACAATAGCTACATTGACCATATGCCTTTTACTTATGTTATTGCCAATATTTACAGCAATATGTTAGCTTACTTCATAACACTTATTACGCTTTGTACTTCCTTTCTTTTTGCTGACTTATTCTGTCTGTATCCTTAACTATAAAATCTGGGAAGACATTATAGGCTCAGTACCTTCTATAGTTTCTGGCACAGAGAAGATATAAAATAATATTTGCTGAATGAGTTCAATTTACAAAAATTCGAAAAGAAACCTATTACAGACCAGAAGCTCATTGAGGTTATGACAAATCAAGGATTCAAGTGACCGAGCCAAGATTTAAATCACCAATTGACTGCAGAGCCTGTTCTCTTTCTTGAATGCTCTAAAAGAATTTGGCAGAGGGTCTGAGCAATCTACAGGACCATATTATAAGTGTAGCTGCAATAGATGTATGATCTTTTCCTCAACTTAACTAAGCAAGATTGGTTATGTGGAATCTGAATTCTGAAAATCACTAGAAAGAGTTTTCTTATCCTCTCCTGGGAATGTCTGCTTATCTTTTAACAAGGTCAAAGCTACATTCAAATATAAAGAGAAATGAAGTTATAATATGGTAACTCCCAAATAAATGATATAACTCAGATGCAGAAGGTATGTGCAGGTCACATGATTTTGTAGGGTATGATAAAGAAAACCTGGAAAGACTAGCTTATAGGGAAAGAAATAGGTTTTCTGCTTTCACCAATTTTTTCTTCTTATCTGTAATAGTGCTTGGCACTTTATAGGTGCCCAGTAAATATTTGACTGGTTCCATAAAGTTTCTAACATATTTACTATAAACTTGCCCTAATCACAAGATCATTGGACCTATGTTATTTTGAATGCTGCATGGATGTCCAGAAAATTCTGGAGATACATTTAAAATAATAGAAGTAGAAACCAGTTAGCCTAGCCTTTCCACATTATAAATAGTAAAAGTAAAGCCAAAGAAAACGAGTGAATGCCTATACAGCTGGTTGGTAGGAGAGGTGAAACTGGGACCTATATCTCCATTTCCAGGAGCAGCTCTTTCTACTTTACCTTATTCTAAAAGCTGGAGTCTCAATGGCAACTAGAGAGGATCCAAGGAAACTAGATGATTTGTTTTGATGCAAACATACTCACATATGCATACCCTCATGAATCTTGAATAGCATAAAAAACACTGGACTGAAAGCTTTAAAAACAATGCTGATTCAAGCCCTGTTTCTCCTACCTTTTTGCTGTGTGACCTTGGGAAAAATTTTTTGCCATTCTGAGTCTTAATCTTCTTATCTCCCGTCTACACAATAAAGAGTGTTTTTATTCCACTTTCCTTCCTTATTCCCACTTGAAGAGAGCGGAACCTTTTTAAAAACAAAATTTTCTACAGAAGTCCAGAATATAAAATAGGTGAAGTCCAGCTCCTCTGGTTAAAGTCAGAGCAGTAGGGAGAGAGGATGCCTGCTCCATCTTCCCTTCCTTCAAAAGTCTTTCCAACTCTCGCATTCTGTGATTCTAAGATTCACCATTCCTAAAGAAGGACAAAGGGCAGACTCACCTACAACTCCTTAATCTGGGCTTCAGTCAGATGGCTAAGACCAGACACTTGGAATTACAGTGAAACCATCTCTGCTAGCACCTGAAGCACTGGTCTTGGACAAAGAGATAAATAAAATTTGGATGTAGCTACTTTAAATTGGCCACCAAGGGAAGGACTTGACAGGGCTTTAAAGGAAGGCCAGTTCTCTCCTAAGTACCATTGGGTCTCTCTAGGTTGTGCGATATGACACATCCCAGAGAGCACTATTGGCAGCCTGACTGGCTGTCTGGGCTCAGGGGTAAAGAAGATGCCAGCTTTGGTTGGGTGCTGATGATTTCCATTGGCCCTGCTTCCATTATACTCCTAGTCTCTGGTCTGGTTCCAATAACATATCTCCAGAGGTAATGAAAGCCAAGAGTGCCTTTTGGCTTCAAAATGATGTTTCAAACAACAGTGGTTACCTTTGTAAAGCATTAGATATTTTACAGAATCTTTTCAATGTAAAAATATCTTTTGGATGACTCCAAGGGTTGGAACTGGGACTAAATGATTAAAATCAAGAGAGAGGGAGAGAGAAAGAGAAAGAAATTATAGGAAAACAATAGAACAGTCCAAAGGTGGAATGGATGTTCTAGAAAGGCATGGATTTTCCATCACTGAAAGTAAGGAGAAAATAGTATACTTGACAGTGGTGATCTCATATGTGGAATTAGAAACAAACTCATAGAAACAGAGAACAGATTAGGG